GAAAAAATAAAAAACCAAAAAAAAAAAAAAAAAAAAAAAAAAAAAAAAAACCAACAAAAAAACAACCAAACTGTGACAGTGGTTTTTAATTGTAGAATAAAGGAATAACAGACTGGGTCTGGGTAATGGCAATTTTAATTTTAATTTTCACTCTTGAGCAGTGCCAAATGCTAGCAAAAGCTAAAATGAGTGACACTTAAGAAAAGAGAAATCTTCCCCTTGAATGTCTTTAAAATCTATAATAATAATATAATAATATAAAGTGCATCTGGGCATTGCCTTCTGCTGCAGTTCTTGTCTGGCTTGCATCCAAAACTGTCAGGCTACTCTGAGTGCTGATGATTCATATCCAGCACCCTTTTATCTGAACATTGCAGTGTCTTTTCTTTGTACTTTGGCAGTGATGTTACCTTGATGTTCAAAATCTTTTAAAAGCAACACAGTCTTTCCTTGTATCTTGACAAATCATTGTCTGCCAGTAATGAAGAAAAGTCCATGATTATTGTAAATATAAAGAAATAAATACATGTGGGTTTTTGTTTTTATTATGCACTTGGTATCTGCAGAATGAGAACCCTGATAATCTTTCCTTATTTCTCTTACACAAACCAGCATGAATTTATAGTCACAGGGTGCTTTTCATGTTTCTTCATCTGAGGCTTGAAGCAGCCATGGCATGATAGCAAGGCTGGTTCTCATTAATATTCTAACTTATATGTAAGGAAACTGAGGCTCAGGACGATTTGTTACTGTTTCACTCATCCGCAAAAGGTCCAGTCACTAAATCTAGATCTTCTTACTCAGAACGAATGGTTTCCTTCATTTTGTTTTTTTACAATGTTGTCTTTCAGAAGAGGATGAATGTGTAGTGTCTAGATCAAACGTGTTCTATTTTTCTGGGAGAATCACTGGTCCCAAGTTGCTGGAGGTCTTGGTTATGTTTGAATCCTACACTTTAAGGAGAACACAGAGGGAGACTAGAGGACATAAGGAAGGCCAAGAAACAAGAATAATGAGGAGCCTGGGAAGTAACCACAGGATCGGAACTTTCATGTCTGGAGAACAATGCAGAAAGACACAGGTGACTTGTGGAAAGGAATTAGGTTTGTTCCTAGCAACTTCAGGCAGCAGAAGTAGGATCACCGGATACAAATGACATAGAAGCAGATTTTTTGCTCAATATAAGAAGCTTCCTAACATTTAGAATTGTCCAAAAATGGAATAGACTAGCTCATCACCACTGGAAAGTGTTCATGCTGAGACTGCCCTTTTTGAAGATTATATGACTTTATGAGTGTTGTATTTTAGAAGTGACAAAGTTTTATGATGAACCTTTTCTAAGAGCTCAGGGAAGAATCTCTTCACTAGCTAAAATTAAAGGGGTCTTGTATGCTTTGCCACTATGACTTTAGACTGAGAGAATTATATCTGTAACAATTACTGCTGCACACATCACAGGGTCTTGTAAAGTATTTTTCAACTGATAGAGAAGAATGATATCAGTTAAGGCAGGTTAAAACATTTGTCAGCCTAAAATTGAAATACACACTATGAATTTTGTCATAGTTGTGTGTGTGTGTTTATGGCTTGTGTGTATTTTAACTTTCAGAATGAATTTGCCATGGTATTTATTATCTTGTTATTATCTTGCTTGTTACCTTCACTGCTCACCAGTCCCTAGGACATGAGCAATAATATGAAAACAAATAGAGGAAAAGTCTTCCAATAGATGGTTTTCATTTTCCTAGTGTGGAAAAGGATCAAGCAAGTTTTTAGTTTCTTTTTCCTCTAAAACGAAAATGTTGCTCTAGGAATATTTTTCTCTTCAGCTTTTAAAATTTTATAATTCTTTCAATTTTATAGCTTCATTTCTCTATACAGTTGACCCCTGAAATTAACGGATGTTACATTCCTAGAGCGCCCGTGAATTGTGAAAAACTGTGAACTTCAGCTTTGGTCAGAAGCATGTCTATAAATGATTATTTTTATAGTTTAAACCCTAAATATGCTATGTCTCCTGCAGTTATATAATTTAATAAAATACTGTATTAATAAAGCCTTAGAAGGTGCAGGGCATTTTGGTGGCATCGTAGGGATCTTGGCGCTTTAAGAGGGACAAAACCAAGAACACTTAGCCACACATGGTACAGCAACCTGTTATGAAGCAGGAAAGCTGGTGCATCTGCAATGGTTTACAGGACAGCCAATCAGCAGCAAGCAGAACTGAATACCACTCTCAGATTGGCTACTTGCAACCTCCCCACTCCCCAACTGAGGAGTCTTCTTCGAAATTGTGAGGGCTTCTGCAAACAATTATTAGTTAAATTCTAAGTAAAAATCCTTGAAGGACTAAGGCCATGAACTGTGAACTACAACTTCTCTGGGGTATACTGTATTTATGTGGGAACTTGAAAATGACCTCAATTATAACCGAAACAATTTCGCTGTTGTGCTTTAATTTGCTCATTTATTTGCTAAAAGATCTTTATTAAGTGAAACTTATAGAAATATTAAAACCTTTTTAAATACAAAATGCTTTTAAGAATAAAAGAAAACCTGGGAGGTAGCAAATCACATAGTTGTTTGTTTTGAAAGAGTAATGTTTAATGCAGCCATTAGAATGACTTGGTGAAGAATGTAACTGTTTTGTATAGCTGAAATATACCAATACACTGAATGGAGAAAAAATAGCAATTAGAATGAAAGCTATGAACTTCATCTGTAGGGTATTTTGAAACAAATATTATAGAATTTCTCTGGAAAATGTCTTACTGTTGCTTGGATTTGAAACTCTTAATATTTCAGCTATGCCCCGAATCATAATGATGTTCAGTGAGAACAGCAGAATTTTGAAAGTGTTCAACCATAGTTTCTAAGCAAAAACTCTTTCCTCTATAAATTACCTCCTCGTTCTATTCTCTTCTCGGCAGATTCCAGAGAGGTGACTACCACATCGATGTCTGCATCAATGACTACCTGGATGTCTTCTGCCCTCACTATGAGGACTCTGTCCCAGAAGATAAGACTGAACGCTATGTCCTCTACATGGTGAACTTTGATGGCTACAGTGCCTGTGACCACACTTCCAAAGGGTTCAAGAGATGGGAATGTAACCGGCCTCACTCTCCAAATGGACCACTGAAGTTCTCAGAAAAATTCCAGCTCTTCACTCCCTTTTCGCTAGGATTTGAATTCAGGCCAGGCAGAGAGTATTTCTACATCTGTGAGTATATAGAGATTTATCATGCTATGGGGCAGCTGCAAGAACCCAAACGAATTTTTTACCCATGTTTCAGAGAACGGCAAGCTGGACTACAGATGTCTCCTTGTAAATGCATGCATCACAATCCCTAGATACATTAGCTGGGAATTGAGAACACAAATTAGATTAAAGACACAGTGTCTCTCCCCTTATGAAATTGGGTGTCAGCCTGTTCGGTGAACCACTGCTGACTTGTATTTCTTTTAAATGAAAATTGCCAGGACTTCTCCAAAGCTCAGGAAAAGAAAAAAAAGATTCTTGAAAAAAATTAAAGAAAATAATTAAATTTACATAGCTAGGAGTCATTGGATTTCTTATTCAGGTGTCAGCATATCCTTTCAATCATCCATGTTTTCAGTGGAGAAAGCCAAAACTCCTGCAAATGTCAGCATGCTGACAATAAATACCCTCTGCACCAAGGAGAAAAGACAATTATTAAGAGCAGCTGCGTCTTTAAGCATAGAGTGAGAAGAAATATCTAGCAGGGGTTCCCAGGGAACGGGAATGAGTGAGTTCTTCACCTGTGTGTGCTGACTGTCCTGAGAGAGCTCTAAAACTTTCTCAGCATTAATCAGTGTCACAGACTGTTTTTTTCTCTATTACGTACACCATCACTTCTTCAAGCATTACTTCAAGCATTATACTAGCATATATCATAGGTAAATGCTTCTCAAGCTTTGCTGTGCATTAGTCATCTGGGGATCTTGGCGTGCACATTCTGACTTGGGGTCTGGGTCAGGGTATGAGATTCTGCTCATCTGAAGTCCCCAAGTAAGTGGATGCTGAGGATTTACAGACTACGTGTTGAATAGCAAAGTTCTAGGTAATACCTACTTCGGGTAGTCTCCTTAGGCTGGTGTCAAATATTTAAACTGTGTAGTCATGAATTTTCACTGTCAGCAAAAAGAGTCAAAATTTATTTGTTCACAAATACATTTATTGAACAGTTTATGTTGGCTCAGAAATGCTGGGGGGTTATGAGATGAAAAGACACTTCTTGTTTTTAGGGAGTGACCTTTGAGCAGGGAGCAGAACAGTACTTATATTGTAGAATATACGTACACAATTGATGAATAAAGATAAATTCAGGAGCAGCGGGAGAAGTTATGCCTCACCTGCTTGGAGAACCAGGAAGTACAGCTGGTACCCTGTGTGTGCTGATTCAAGGAGTGTGGCTCAGCCTGCTCAACACCGACTTTTCACCCCAGCTTGCCAGACGAGTGAGATAAAGAACATTCCTGTTTTTCTGACTCATTTCTCCAGTCCAAATGTTCCCACCCACGTGCTTTGCATCTACTGAGATTTCTACCTCCTCTTCTCCAGAAAACAGAATTTTGTAAGTCACATTTTGCCATCAAAAGGGCTCTCTCATTTATATTGAAATTGAATTTAAGAAGGAAGTTGAACAGTGCTAGTTTTATTATTTCAGGACATATTTCTGTTGTTAGTCATGAGAAAACATGAAAAAGCCTTGGTACAATCTCACATTAAATACATGAAATAAGAAAAGGAATATTGAATCCCACAGACGCAGGAAATACTGGCATCCAGTGAATTCACACTTTCTCAGGCAACGTGCTCTTGTCTTTTCCTAAATTTCTTACTTTGTGAAAGAATCCCATCCAGTAAATAAGTAAAGGGGAAGAAGAGATCTTCAACTGTGGGCAGCGTTTCAGTAATTGCCTAGCCATAACATACTATACCAGTGTAAGAGGAAATTATTACTAGTTTTGAATTTTCTTTTTGGTTTCTCAGATTAAAACACAACAAAGGCATAAAACAAAAATGAATATAGAGCACTAATATGGGAAACATACCCACCAGCTAACTAAATGATTGTATGATTATTAAAAATTACAGAATCCATTGAGGTTCATAAGCAAGATGCTATTATTCAAATATACCCATAGTGCTTATGACTGGTTTCTCTTCATTTGTGGTAAAATTCAATATTTCACTAAAAATCATTATGTGTCTTCTATAACATTCATTTAACAGAGTCATTTAACTGTCAAGGGCTCCCGTCAAAGTAATTGTTCCAAAATGCTTCAAAATATCAAGAGCTTTTTGCTGTTCAGCTGAGTTTAACTTGAATTACTTTTTTTAATGAGAGGTAAAATAGCGCAAAATTAGCAGCAAAGCAATATTCATTTACAAGAAGTACAGTAGCCTGATGTTCAATTAAATTGAATTTTTAACTGTGATTTTGACCCACACACACATCCTCCCCTGTCTTTTCAGTAGCAGAGGGGTTCTCTTTCTTTTGCAGCTCAGAGCAGTAGCTGTAGAGCTAATGTGGACGTCTTACAGACGTTTTATGTACTGTGGTCATAATTAAACTGAAGGATTCTTAGGGGAGAATTGGCCCTCCTTTGAATTTTCCTCTCTCCTAATATGCATAGAACGAGCAAGATGATTGGGAAATGGCCTTTTTCATACTTAGCACATTACAAGAAGCTCTATTACTGATCTCAGGAGCAAGCTTGATGGCCTACTAGCCAAGTTCACCGAATATTGTTCCTCGGACAGGAGTACATTTCAGATCCTTGCAGCTTTAATGTGTCTTCTAACTTTTCTAAGAAAAAAGAGGAGAAAAAAAACTGCATAGCCTATTGTCTTCCTGCTTCAGTGTCTGGGGCAGGCTTTGGAGTAATTGTCATATGGATTGCCAAAATTCAAATAAAAACATGGATTTGTGGGAAGGGGAAGTATTTTGTGACCAGATTTTTAAGACTCAGAAAGGATACATGTCAGGATTCTTATCAATCAAGGTCTGCTTTATCTTCAACAAGATTTATTTTCTTTCTTTATTTTTTTGGTACCAGGGATTGAACTCAGGACCTTGTGCTTGCAAGGCAGGTGGTGGCACCACTGAGCTAAATCCCCGGCCCTAATTTCTTTAAATTATATAAAATGAAGATAATGCAGTGAGTTAAAACATTCCAGATGAAGTTTCCAATTTATTTTAAAAACAAAACATCCTTCACAGTTCTAAATATTTGACTCAACTCCAAATGACTTTGTTAGGTTATTCTTCCCTTTGGATCAGACAATATTTTAAGTAGTTGTGTGGTCACTGATCGTTGTTGAGGCTGACTGGGGCCATTTCTGATTATGACACACTGCTTTTTAATCTATAGGAGTTATTTGGCAAGAAATTGGCACACTAAAGTCATTTAAAAAGATCAGTACCATTACTACCAGTGATAGATTTGTAGAGCTGCCAGTTGATTAATTAAGGTAATTGGCATTTATGAAGATTTCCTAAAGGAAAGAGTATTTTAAAAACTTAAAAGTATTCATTTATGAACTTCAAAACTACTCACCTTAGAAATAATTTTCATAAATATTAGGCTAGTGAGAACATATTTGGAAATAGTTTTTCTGGTGTTATTGTAGATAAAGTTATCATTAAAATATGGGCACTATAGACTATCTTTGTAAAGTTCATAGAAACATGAATTTTGAGTGTACCTTTTTATAAAATAAGGAAAATTGAGTCCCAGTCCCTTCTCTTGCCCTAGGTAGCTATATAATTGTGGGTAGTAAATAATTTATTCCCTCTAGATACTTGTCTCTGCTTCTGTAAAGTAATGTAGTTATAACTGATAATTTCTGAAATTTCTTCGAGTTTTCCTATCTTAACCTTGTATTTTACCTAGAGGTCTGCAGTTTCAGAGTAAGAAATCGTTTCTGTATAATGGCCCAGCCCAGTGCCTTTCTTAGTAGGTGTCAATAAATAACAGCTAAAGGAACATCTTTAAAGGAAATGCAGAGTGGAAAGATGTGTTAGAATTATTGAACTATTTTTCTCCCTGCCACCCTGTACAAGCCACTGTAATCTGAGGTCTGTGCTAGTGCAACAGATATTACTGCATTTTCACAGCCCCCACCCCCATGGTATATGGCATCACTTTGTCAAAGTCCTCTCGTGGTTTCGTTTCTAACCAAAACCGAAGTTCAGGCTTTGACCTGGCCAGTAAGGTCCTCCTTGGCTGTGCTCCTCTCTCCCCTACCTCTATCTCTTATTTCCTCTCCTACCATTCTCTACCTTACTGTCCCTCTGCTTCAGCCACCCTGTCCTCCTTCCTGCTCTTTGTATCTGGCAGTGCAGCCCAACATCGGGGCTTTGGCACCTTAGTGTCCCGCTGCCTGGGGTTCTTATTGCCCCAGGCATCCATGTCCCTTGTTCTCACTTTCTTTGCTCAGGTAACTGGTGTCTACATAGCACTTAATCTGCTTAACGCATCATTCTAAGTGTTCTGTAATTTCTCAAAAATAACACTGGATGATGTTCTCTTTTCTCTCTTTATGGGTGAGAAAACTGAGGCATGAATTTAGGTAGCTTGAAAAAGGCTCAATAGATAATAAGTAGCTGACCTGAGAAGAAATTAAGTGAGTGAGCAATTAAAAAAAGTAAAAATATATATAAAGTCCCAGGTCTTATATAGTTCAGAATGAAAAATGTATTTTATAGTATAAAAATAGAAATAAATAACACTCACTTTGACATCTACTGTTTAGCGAATACTACCGTATAAACTCTCCCTACCCCAAATTTAATAGTAGAGAGATGTATTTGGAACATTTATGTACTTCCAGATCCATAAAGGATATCCAGAAGATACTTTAGATAACTTCAGAAGCAAGAAAGTTGCATTTTCTGAGAAATTCTTTTCAAATTTGCTGAACTAATGCATTCAGATTGAATCATGATTGAACACTTGATTCAGGAATTAGTGAGCTTTAATGAGCAACCTAAAAAGAAGACAAATTCCATTTTCTGAAAATAATCCTAAAAAGGCAGAGTGTTTTAGCATTTACTAAGTCAAATTTATACTCGATTACATTCTTATGTCACTATAGATAGCATTCTAAAATCCATATTTTATACTTACTTGAATGTATATAGTTAACCGCTAGTTATGTACCTTAAGTAGAAGTTTACAGTTTTCTCTTAG